ACGAGTTTCCATACCCTGTTCCCGGGCCACGTGGCATCAGCGTATCAGCAGGGTTGCTCAGCCTTCACCCTTTGGCATCTTCACTCTTTGGAAGCCTTCCCAACGCAAATCACAAAAAAATGAGTTGGCCCAGAGAGACCCTCGTGCAGGTTCCTCTCCACCTGGTCTTCCTTCTCTTCACTCAGTTGTTACCTCCTTTGATCCTCACTTCTGGCTCACACATCTTTTATCCACCACAGCATAATTTCTCAATGTCCCTTTTCCTCATATTCCTTCAGACTTTCCAGTTTTATTCTTTTCTCACCTCCTTTCATCTCCCTAGATCCCTTTTGCCATTCTCCACCTTCCTTCACTGAGGCAGCACGACATAGGGCAAAGAGAACAGGCTTCCCTGTCCCCAGTTCTGTCTCCACCTCTGCCTAGTTACATGATGTGCAGACATGACACCCTCACCAAGCCTCAGTTTCCCATCTGTAAAAATTTCCTCACAGAGGTTTTGTAAGGACCCTAAGAAACAAAACTTAATTCCTGTCACTGTATTTCCATCACTATGTGAACTGCCTTGGCGACTCTAAACAACTTTTGCAATCTTAAAATTGTACATTTTAGCTATGAATTGTAAAATCAGTAAAAAGCTACAAACTTCCTATGTTTTCAACACCCCTGATACTGTGGGGAATTTAACTGGGAGACTTTAAGGAAACTAAAGGTTGACCTACTAGTAGTATAGATGTTTGCGAATAGTTTAGAAACATGTTTCTCCTTGGAAGGAGAAACTAGGTGATGGTATTTTCTTCTTAGGCTCAAGTGTTAGACACCAAGAGTCTATAATGAATCACGCCTTAAATAAATAAAATGTGAAATCCTCTTAGGCAGATGTTGGCAATTGTTTACTGTAAGGGCCAGCTACTGTGTTAGGCGTTGCAGACCATATGGACTTTGTCACAACTATTCAACTCTGCTCTTACAAGAGCAGAGTTGTATTGTAGCACAATAATACACAAGCAAATCAACATAAATGTGTCCCAATAAAACTTTATATAAACAGTAGGTAAGCTACATTTGGCCTCAGACTATAGTTTTCTAACCATTGCTCTAAGGGATGAATGGAGAATACAGTGATCATTAATGACTCAGAAAATCAGAAATTATGATTGAATGGGAGGTTTCAGGTGACTCCATGATGATTCTGGAATTATTAAGACTTTTTGGTTACTAATGAATGACGACACTTTTTTTTTTTCACTTCTACAAGTTCTCCTGATGGAAAAATCAGTCAGCTCAAGGTTTTTTAATCTGAGATAAACTGGCCTTTGAAGTAGTTTTGGACCTCGGTAGGTCTGTTGGCAGTTGGTAAATCCATCCTAATTTCCCACAGATGGAGCAGAGAAGGATCACTTAGAGGAATCAGAAAGCCCAGGACAATAGGGAAGTAACAACAACTGCCACTTACTGAGCTGCCCTCCCTACCACAAACTATGACCACTATGATCTCCATTTTATAGAAGAAGCAAAGTTTTAGTTGATAGGAGATGAGTGCTTTGACCGAGATCACACAGAAGTGTTAGAGCCAGCTGTATTTCTTTCCCCTTAGCCACAATATCTCAATCAACACAAGTAACCTACTTTCCTTGGGACATTCACCTTTCTTCAGATTCAGAACCAGAGAGGAAAAAAAAATCACCCCTTCTTCCTTCTGCCTTTACTTTCTAGTAGAAGTTATACTTAAAAAAAAAAAAAAAAAAAAGTGGCTGGGCATGGTAGCTCATACCTGTAATCCCAGCACTATGGGAGGCCAAAGCGGGTGGATCACCCGAGGTCAGGAGCTCGAGACCAGCCTGCCCAACATGGCAAAACCTCGTCTCTACTAAAAATACAAAAAATTAGCCGGACGTGGTGGTGGGTGCCTGTAATTCCAGCTACTTGGGAGGCTGAGGCAGGAAAATTGCTTGAACCCAGGAGGCAGAGGTTGCAGTGAGCTGAGATTGTGCCACTGCACTCCAGCCTGGGTGGCAAGAGTGAAACTCTGTCTCAAAAAAAGAAAAAAAAAATCAGTGCCCCCTCAGCCAGCCCCTACTGTGTGCTAAGCATAAAGCTTTCATTATATGATAAAATCTATTGTTTTTTTATTTCCCAAACTAAACTGCAAAGACAAGAAAATGGAAGCTAAGACAATTAAGTGATTTGCCTGAAGTTGCACCAGTAGTTAATTGTGGAGTCAGAATTTGACGTAGTTCTCATCAACTCCAAAACATTTTCAACTCATACAGCTGCCATAGAGCTTAGTGTTAAACACTCTGACTCTCAAGCCAGATGGTCTGGGTTCAAATCTGAACTCCACTATTTGCTAGCTGCATCACCCTGGGTAAGTTGCTTAACGACTCTGTCTTAGTTTCCTGATTTGTCAAATTAGGATGATGATAATGGTTTACTTCTCATCATTTGTTACAGGGAAAAAAGGGGTGATAAGAACATGGTAAACCACATGCTTTGGCTTTTTCTGTGGAATATCAGCTCTATGAGCACAGAAGTTATTGTCTGTTTTCTTCACTGTTGTATCCCTAGCACTTAGGATAATGTCTAGCACATAGTAGGCAATATCAATATATGAATGAAAAATGTCAGAAGTAGTCTTTAAATTAGGTTATGACTGGATTCAAAGTCAGCATGAAAAGCATAGCTTTCCTTTTGCTTTACTATTTTTGTATAACTTGGATTTGATAGGTAAAATTTAATATGAGTCTTTGAAGTCTTAATTTAAAGTGTAACAGTGGAAACTAGTGATTGTCTTCTTTCTTTCCATGTTCCCAACAAAACTAGAAGTTAGTACAAAGGTGAAGCTTTTAAAACAAAAGTGGAAGTTAGCACAAAGGTGAAGCTGAGGTTGAGCACATAGCAGGTACAAAGAGTGCTTTCAGATGTACTTCTCTAGTTCTTTCCTATTCCCCAAAGTGCATCCTTACATAATTAGCTTTAAAATTCCTTTCATCCCTTTTTCTAAAAAAAAATCTGTCATTAACACGTAGATTTTTATCTCCGTAAGTTTATTTTTACTAAACTTGCATCTTTTTAAATACTGTGTATTCTAAATCTAAATCAGTATTTACTGATGACAGCTGCTGGGAACCACTGTAATAAATGAATTATGGGTTCCATTTACCTGGCAAGATTGCCTTTGATGTCTACACATCAACAGTGAAAGGGGTTCCAGAGAACAACAAAGCCTCTGGGAGAAAAGGCAAGCTCATCCCAAGACAGTATGCACAAAGAGGGAGCAGAAACAGGAGATGGGTGCCTCTGGAACAAACATGCTTATGCAGGTGGGTTTATGGAGGGGCTCCTGAGAGTCTGAGTCCCATGTGTCTTCAAGAGCATTACTTAGATGCCATGGCACCTAGGCAGAAAACAATGTTCAAATCTGTGCTGGATTTAAAAGTATATGTGATATTCGTTCTGAGTGGTATACCCAATATCCCTAATAGCAGAGTGTTGAAGTTCTCATCTTTCTCACTGGTTTGCACTGTGTAAATTATTATTTTCATTAAGATTAAGCATCCTCACAAAACTGCACAGCAGTAACATATGGAACCACCTCCTTGGAAAGTTCTCTAACAGTATGCCTACCAAAGACTCTTTTTTTGTTGTTTTGTTTTTTGTTTTTTTTTTTAATGGGCTTACTGTACAATCTTGTTGAAAAAAATTCTCATATGTTTCAAATTGTTCTAGAATGACTTAAAATATTTCTAATGAGACAGTATATAATTTTCTTTTATGATTTAAACCAATAATATAGGACAAAGATGATAATTCACTTTTTCTTTGCCACATAGGATACAATTCAGTATTCCTGGGAAATCTAATCTATTTTTTAAAATTTTTTTATTATTATTATACTTTAAGTTCTAGGGTACATGTGCATAACGTGCAGGTTTGTAACATATGTATACTTGTGCCATGTTGGTGTGCTGCACCCATCAACTCGTCAGCACCCATCAACTCGTCATTTACATCAGAAGACATTCATACAGCCAACAGACACATGAAAAAATGCTCATCATCACTGGCCATCAGAGAAATGCAAATCAAAACCACAATGAGATACCATCTCACACCAGTTAGAATGGCAATCATTAAAAAGTCAGGAAACAACAGGTGCTAGAGAGGATGTGGAGAAATAGGAACACTTTTACACTGTTGGTGGGATTGTAAACTAGTTCAACCATTATGGAAAACAGTATGGTGATTCCTCAAGGATCTAGAACTAGATGTACCATATGACCCAGCCATCCCATTACTGGGTATATACCCAAAGGATTATAAATCATGCTGCTATAAAGACACATGCACACGTATGTTTATTGCGGCACTATTCACAATAGCAAAGACTTGGAATCAACCCAAATGTCCATCAGTGACAGACTGGATTAAGAAAATGTGGCACATATACACCATGGAATACTATGCAGCCATCAAAAAGGATGAGTTTGTGTCCTTTGTAGGGACATGGATGCAGCTGGAAACCATCATTCTTAGCAAACTATCACAAGAACAGAAAACCAAACTCCGCATGTTCTCACTCATAGGTGGGAACTGAACAATGAGATCACTTGGACTCGGGAAGGGGAACATCACACACCGGGGCCTATCATGGGGAGGGGGGAGGGGGGAGGGATTGCATTGGGAGTTATACCTGATGCAAAGACTCTTTTAAAGATCTTTGAAATTAGTAATTAGGGAGGCTAAAATGGAGCATTGTTTGCTTGTCTTAATGTGGAATCCTCTACATGCTTTATAGAAAACAAATGAAGTAAGTTTTGCTCTTGAAGGTTCTTCTGCTTACAGTCAAAGTAATTTGCAGACTTGCCTGATTTGTATGTTTCTTCAAGTCAAGATTAATTCTAATGGATTACTCCTGTCCCTTCAGCTATAAGATAAGAGAGGGAGAACAAAAGTGGCTTGTGAAATCAACCTAACGCAGTATCTCTTCTCTCTTCTCATAGGTCGCTACCCACAGGAGAACAAGGGAACCTACATCCCAGTGCCTATAGTCTCAGAGTTACAAAGTGGAAAGTGGGGGGCCAAGATTGTCATGAGAGAGGACAGGTCTGTGCGGCTGTCCGTCCAGTCTTCCCCCGAATGTATTGTGGGGAAATTCCGCATGTATGTTGCTGTCTGGACCCCCTATGGCATAATTAGAACCAGTCGAAACCCAGAAACAGACACGTACATTCTCTTCAATCCTTGGTGTGAAGGTAAGAGGCAGGCATTTAGTTTTCTCATTTAAAAATTCACCTGTTTGGCAGCGTGCCATGGCACATGCCTATACTCCCAGCTGTTTGGGAGGCCAAGATGGGAGGATCGCTTGAGGCTGGGAGTTCGAGACCTAGTCTCTAAAAAATAAAAATTAAAAATTAGTTGGGTATGGTGATGCACACCTGTACTCCCAGCTACTTGGGAGGCTGAAGTGGGAGAATTGCTTGGGTTCAGGAGTTGAAGATTACAGTGAGCAATGATCATGCCACTGCACTCCAGCCTGGGCAACAGAGCAAGACTCCGTCTTTGGAAAAAAAAAAAAAAAAAGTCATGTATTTCCAATACATCTCTTTTTGGAGGGGTAGTAAGATTATTCTAAATACATATACCTCTCCGACATATACCATTTTTAATGATTGAAAGAGAAAGATAGAAAATTCATCCTCCGTGTATATGAGGATAAAACCTCTGTATGTGAAGTCAATACTGCTATACATTTATTTCAGGATTAATTGGAGATTGTCTAAAGTTGCACAATTAGTTATTTGTGGAGCTATTTAATTGCAGTTTTGTAATTAAAAGTAATTGCAAAAATCGCAATTACTTTTGCACCTACCTAATGTATGTTGACAGTATAACCTCTGTACACTATTACTCTGTAAACAAATTGGTTTACAGAAGTATTAGAATCTGACTCTGACTTCAGAAAAATAAAATGAAGTCGACGCTGTTCATAGTGGAACTAACCTCTCTATCCCCCTACTTTAAGAACAACTAACCTCTCTATCCCCCTACTTTAAGAACAGAAAGTCTGTATATATAAAGGATTCCACAAGCTTGTTTATGTGCATAGTGGGTGCAAATTTTGCAAACCATAACTCTGGATGTGCAAAGATGTAGCTGTACTTTAATATAATATAACTTGATCTCTAGTGCTATTTTCGGTCTTCCTTTCTGTCTGCGGCAGAAGCTTAATCTAGTTATATTCAAATAAAACTCAGTCAAGTTCAATGATTTCTCTATCAATTCTGTTTTGTGCCTCAGTCACACACAGGACTTTCTCCTCATCTTCATCTCTGCCCTTTCATACCTCTCCCCCGCTCCCATACTTGGTACAAAGCTGTTTTAAGTTCCAGAGGCAGATGCAGATGTTGCAGCAGCATCGATATGCTGCAAGACCATTTCTAGGTCCTAGGAAATAAGGCAGTGAAAGATATGAAAGCTCACATGGGGCAGGAGACTTCCCATGGCACCCTACCCCGTATGCATTGCTCTCTAACATCATCCAAAATGAGCCCATATTATTGCTGATTTTGAATGATCCTTGTATGTGAAAGTTGCATTTGAATCAGAGTTAATCTGTCCTAGATATAGATAAATGGACAACAATATTTGCTACTCATCTAGAACATGCACCTTGGTCCTACTGACCTTTTCTTTGTTTTATATTTATATTTATTTACTTTTTGTAGAGACACGGGCTCACCATGTTGTCCAGGCTGGTCTTGAACTCCTGGGCTCAAGCAGTGATCCTGCCTAGTGTGGGCAAAAGGTGCCAAGCTATTCCTGCACTCCCTATACATCCATTCTCATAATCTTGTACCCAACACTCCTATCTATGAGACAGATATTCAAGGTAAATGGTAACAGGAAATATTAACTGGGCCATGTGCAGTTCAAAAAATGAACTCTTGATAGTAATCTTAAAACCAGATGTAAGGTGTTTTGCAACTGGTTGATGGAGTGATATTTACAGAGATGAAAAATACTGAGAGGATCAGAGTTACAGATATATAAATTAAGATTTTGAATATGTTAAGTTGGAGATAACCATAGATAGACAAGCAGAAATGACAAGTAGGTATGTGAATCTGGAGAGGAAAATCAGAGATGTGTATTTGGGAGTTATCTGTACCTAGGGAGAAAATATAGATAAAGAAGGAAATAAGATATAGTATCTAGCCTTCAGGAACATCATCATTTAGGAGTCCAGTAGAGAATAAGTCAGCAAAAGAGAATGAGACGGAAGAGTATGTAGGAAGCAGCCTATTCTAAGAAAATTATATTTAAAAATTCATACTTATCAATCAGGAGTTTGTTATTGACTTTCATTTTATTACAAAAAGAAAATCATAGGCTTCATATAACTTCTCAGAACTCTAGGAAATTTTGGAATGCTATAATTTACCCAGACTTTGGTTTGTTTGCAGCTTTTCTGGATTATATCATGTGTGTAAAATGGGATATATGTCTGCATGCATTTCAACTTATGTGGCCACTCTTCTTCAGGGGAAAATGGTTAGTTATGTTGCTTGACGTATTAACTTTCAGGATAACTATTCAGGAGGCGGACAGTCTAATAACCTTCTAATTGCTGCCTTGATCTTCAGCTGTATACATGATGAGCAGCTTCCAGATACCTGTGTTCTGAAAGAGTCCCTTAGTTCTAGAGGTGTTCTTGTCCTAGAGGCTGTACAGGGACTTCCCCTAGGTTATCAGTGCATGGAAAGGATCGGAGGAAGGTAGAACAAAAACCAGAGACCAATCTGGAAGCTGTGGTCTAGGACAAAGATGATGATAAACTAAACTATGGTGGTACCAGTGGAGATGAGAAGGGGTTATATTGGAGATCTATTTTTGTATTTAGAACAGAAATTGCACAGGGATTGAAGATGAGAAGTAAAGAAATGGGAGAACTCAAGAATAACTCTAGATTTCTTGTTAGGCCAGTTGGGTTGATGGCGGTGCCATTTTCAGAGCTGGGAAAACTGTGGGAAGTGAAGGGGAAGCACGAGGGGTGAAGCTAAGAGTTACATTCAGAAATGTTAATTTGGTGATGTCTATGAGACATGCAAATGAAAACATTAAGTAAGCACTTGAATAAAGTGAATCTAGAACTCAAAGGAGATGGCTGAGCTAGACACGTAAACATGGGCACGGTTAGGAGCAATAATGGACACAAATGATTCAGGGTCATTAACAAGTAAGAGTCGAGACAAAGGAGAAGTCAACAAACGAGGCTGAGCAGGAGCAGTCAGTGGGGCACAAGGAGATCAAAAGAGCCCAGAGCCAGACACATCGATAGATTCAAGACAGCAGTTAACTGTGTTGAATGCTATGATTAGCTGAATAGGATAGGGGAGGAAAGTGGCCATATAGTGTGGAAATGTGGATGTCTTCGATGATGTTGAAAAGGACTGTTTCACTAAAATGATGGGGACAGAGGCCAGGGAGATGGTCACGGGCTGCACTGTAAACTGGTGGCATGAAAGTAGAGACGGCAGGAGATGGTACCTTTCTCAAGACTTTCTGCAGCACCTAGATGTTGACGTGAAGCTCAAAGGAGAATTTTTTAAAGACAAGAGAGAGTGGGTGTTATTTTATCGTGATGGAGAGGAACCAAGAAAGAGAGTTTGCAGTCCAGAGAGAGGACAGTGGTTCACAACCTTGGCTGGACGTTGCAATCATCTGGGAAGCTTTGAAACTACAGATGCCTCAGTCCCCCATGCAGGCATTCTGATGTAATTGCTCTGGACTGCAGCCTGGGCTTCAGAGTTTTTAAAAGCTCTGGAGGTGATTATTGGAGCCAAGGTTGAGAAGTTTTAGGAGTGAAATCCTTGAGTGGTTGGAATCCAGGGAACAGGTGAAGAGCCTGTGATGGGCGGGGCTATCTACCCTCCCCAGAGACAGAAGTAAAAGAGAAGAAGAGGGGTGCAGATTTTCTAGTTTAATGGAAGGAGAATGAGGTTGTTACCATTTCGTGACTTTTTTTTTTTTTTTTTTTTTTTTTTTTTTTTTTTTTTTATCAGTGAAGTGTAAAGCAAAGTCATGTGTTGAGAAGCAGCAGTAAGGAAGGGCATGAGAGGCTTGACAAGGAAGATGTGAGCTAGTCATCTGGAAGGTGGAAGGTGAACTTATTACAGGCACATGCCGGGAGGGTCCTTCCTGCTTCCAGAACACAGGGCAAACTAGCACAATCCTCTTCATTACTTGACCTGTGGAGGCCCAAACATCTGCAAATTCTTTAGGGATTTCTGACCTTATGGCTGCCTCTGCCTCTAGGAATCCTACTTCCCCCTGTGCTGCTGCAAGTGAGAAACTTGACCTTCACCTTCAATTTCAATGTTGGCAACAACAACAAAAACAGTCACACACAACATCTGTGAATGCCCAGACCTTAATTGCAGTTTGGGACGGAGAGTAAGAGGAGGAAGGATGCATTCTGTGGTCACCACGCTTAGAGCACATCAGAATCACCTGGAGGGCTCTGTGCAGCACCCTCAGATTGAATAGGTCTGAGGTCTGGCCTGATAATTTGCATTTCTAACCAGTTCCTAGGGGATGCTGTTGCTGCTGGTCAGGGTTAACACTTAGAGGACCGCTGGTTTCATGATAATCACAAAACTATAAAGCTGGGCATGGTCCCCAGGGTAGCCTGCAGTCCCAGCTACTTGGGAAGCTGAGGCAGAAGAATTGCTTGAGCCCAGGAGTTCAAGGCAGCCTGGCCAGCCTGTCTCTCAGAGGAAAGAAAAACAACAAGCAATAATTTAAAAACTCAGGAGGCAGGGCCAGGCGCGGTGGCTCACGCCTGTAATCCCAGCACTTTGGGAGACCGCGCGGGCTGATCGTGAGGTCAGGAGTTCGAAACCAGCCTGACCAACATAGTGAAACCCCGTCTCTACTAAAAATACAAAAATTAGGTGGGCATGGTGGCGTGTGCCTATAATCTCAGCTACTCAAGAGGCTGAGGCAGGAGAACTGCTTGAACCCAGGAGGTGGAGGTTGCAGTGAGCCGAGATCATACCACTGCACTCCAGCCTGGGCGACAGAGTGAGACTCAGTCTCAAAAACCAAAACCAAAAACAAAACAAACAAACAAACAAACACCTCAGGAGAGTATAATTTACTCTTCTTAAAATTTCACTGGCTCTACCCTGAACCTAATTCCAGTCTGTCTCCTCCTTACCACCCCTTCTCTCTCTCCTACTGTTCTCTTTTA